CTGTCCACAATTCCTGGAAGCTGAAAATGTCCCAGTTCTTCCATGGCCTGCATACTCACCAGACATGTCAACCCATTGAGCATGTTTGGGATGCTCTGGATGTACGACAGCTTATTCCAGTTCCCGCCAATATCCAGCAACTTCGCACTGCCATTGAAAAGGAGTGGGACAACATTCCAGAGGTCACAATCAACAGCCTGATAAACTCTATGCGAAGGAGATGTGTCACACTGCATGAGGCAAATGGTGGTCACACCAGATACTGACTGGTTATCTGATACACGCCCCTACCTTTTTTTAAAAAGGTATCTGTGACCAACAGATGCATACCTGTATTCCCAGTCATGTGAAATCCATAGATTAGAGCCTAATGAATTTATGTCAACCGACTGATTTCCTTATATAAACTGTAACTCAGTACAATCTTAGAAATTGTTGAATGTTGATTTTATATTTTTGTTCAGTGTGGCTAGGAGTAAATACTGGTTTGCTCATAGAATACCAATGCATTCATCGCCTTTATTGGTTTTTTATTATGGATCCCCTTAGGGGTCCAGCAAAATTAAGGCAGTTATACATTTCACAACATTAAGTGTGTGCCCTCAGGCCTCTACTCTACTACCACATTCCTATAACACCAAATATAGTGTGTATGTTATTGTGTGTTTGTATGAATGTGTCTATGTTTGTGTTGCTTCACAGTCCCCGCTGTTCCATAATGTGTATTGTGCTAAAAGTTTTAATCTAATTTTACTGCTGGCAGGAGTTACTTGATGTGGAATAGAGTTCCATGTAGTCATGACTCTATGTAGTACTGTGCGCCTCCCATAGTCTGTTCTGGACTTGGGGACTGTGAAGAGACCTCTGGTGGCATGTCTTGTGGGGTATGCATGGGTGTCTGAGCTGTGTGCCAGTAGTTCAAACAGACAGCTCGGTGCATTCAACATGTCAATACCTCTCACTTTACAGAATTCAAAATTACAATGCTTGTCTTTCATAATTTGGTCAGATATACTTGGATGTATAGCGTTTGTTCCTGGCATGTCATGCCTAAATTTGCTAATCTCGCCAATGAAAAAATTATTAAAGTAGTTGGCAATATCAATGGGTTTTGTGATGAATGAGCCATCTGATTCAATGAATGATGGAGTTGAGTTTGCCTTTTTTCCCAACATTTCATTTAAGGTGCTCCAAAGCTTTTTACTATCATTCTTTATGTCATTTATCCTTGTTTCATAGTGTTGTTTCTTCTTCTTTTTATTCAGTTTACTCACATGATTTCTCAATTTGCAATACGTTTGCCAATCGGTTGTGCAGCCAGACTTATTTGCCATTCCTTTTGCCTCATCCCTCTCAACCATACAATTTTTCAATTCCTCATCAATCCACAGGGATTTAACAGTTTTTACAGTCATTTTCTTAATGGGTGCATGCTTATTAGTAACTGGAATAAGCAATTTCATAAATGTGTCAAGTGCGGTGTCTGTTTTCTCCTCATTACACACCACGGACCAACATTTATTCTTTACATCAACAACATAGGAATCACTACAAAACATATTGTATGACCTCTTATACACAATATTAGGCCCAGCCTTTGGAACTTTGGTTTTCCTAGATATGGCTACTATATTGTGATCACTACTACATACGATGGATTTGGATACTGCTTTCAAACAAATTTCTGCAGCATTCGTAAAGATATGATCAATACATGTTGATGATTTCATTCTTGTACTGTTTGTAACTACCCTGGTAGGTTGATTGATAACCTGAACCAGGTTGCTGGCACTAGTTACAGTTTGAAGCTTTTTCTTGAGTGACAGCCTGATTTCAATATTTCAATCACCCAGAAAGTATACCTCTCTATTAATATCACATACATTATCAAGCATTTCACATGTTATCCAGATACTGACTGTTAGCACATCGTGGTCTATAGCAGCTTCCCACCAGAATGAGCTTTAGGTGAGGCAGATGAACCTGTAGCCATATTACTTCAACAGTATTTAACATGTGATCCTCTCTAAGCTTTACAGGAATGTGGTTCTGAATATAAACAGCCACACCTCCACCTTTGGCATTTCTGTATTTTCTGTTGATCTTATAACCATGTATTGCTACCACTGTATCATCAAAGGTATTATCTAAGTGAGTTTCAGAGATTGTCAGAATATGAATGTCATCTGTTACTAGCAAATTATTGATTTCATGAACCTTGTTTCTTAAGATACATATGTTAACGTGGGCTATTTTTAACACTTTTCTGGGATGCTTGATTGTTTTTCTTGCTTTACTGGGAAGCTTAGCAGAGGTAGACATGCTCAGTTTATTTTTATTAGTGCAGGGTGAGCTGCACACAGTGGACTTCCTACTAGGGCACACCACCTCTGTGCTAACAGTATTACTCTGGTTCATAGGCATATGATTACAGCATACACTAGCTGTAGGATCAGCAGAGGTATTCAGGGAAGTAAGAGGGACATAAATTAGGTTACTTACATTGTGTCTTCCAACGCACCTAGGATAATGTACATTTGCTGAAGCATTATGACAACTCATCGACACAATGGTAGGGATTAAATGAGCGGAACTTGGGTCATTGATAAGTAATTGTCTCAACGCAGCCTTATAATGCTGTAAAAGGATCCAGGAACCCAAATGATTTGGGTGGATCCCATCTTCCTTATAATACGAGCTTTGTTTTGAGAAGGTATCAAAATTGTCAAATGTTACACCCACAAAGCTGCAATAGTCTAGTAGCCAGTTATGGAGGGCTAAAAGTCTGCTGAACCGTTCAATGCCACGATTTAGGGAGGGCAGAGGGCCAGATATTATGGGGCGTTTGTTGGTGTCAAGTAGAGACCCAATCAGTTATTTTACTTACTGTATAGTCTACATTTTATGTATACAAATGTCACTCAGAGATGAGTCGTCCTTTATTGTGACCCCCCTCATCCATCTGGTGTGGGTTAACTTGAATGTTGACTTTCTCTGTGATCCAGGGAGATGGCTTTATCTGCCCATGGCTGTTTGTGAGCATCACAGGCCTCCATTACCACTGATCCAGGGAGATGGCTTTATCTGCCCATGGCTGTTTGTGAGCATCACAGGCCTCCATTACCACTAACCAGCCCCTTTGAAAGCATCAGCCCCCTTCCTTTCAATGAACGGCAGGCAACTCCTTCCTTAGTATTGTGAATCCCTGGGGAAACGAAACGAAACTCTCTCGCGCTCTCTCTCTCATTGCATGCCAGTCTGAACATGCTTCTTTACACAGTCAGTCATTAATTTTTTCATTCTCTTTTACTTTCCTCCATTTTGTGATGTGGAGAGACGAGAGGGCCCATAGCGACAGGGAGGGAGAGAGAACATTTTAATTGAATGTGATTGCTCATTTTGTTTCAGCATTCTTCAGACTCTTGATGAAACCAGCCACTCTCATCCTGCACTCTGCAGCACTGTGCTGTTGTATGTTATGTTCAGTGATCCGATGTTAGTCTGCCACCTATTAGAACTATTTTATTAGCACAGGACTTCCAGTCCAGTGGAAACCAAGGCCCCCAGAGCTCAATCCAGGCACTGTCTGAGTCTCATCACAATTGTCATAAGAAACCAACAGAAGCCAAACTCTTTGGGTCACAAACTAGGCTACTCAGTCCCGTGTGAAATTCACCACTTTGAAATTCACCATCATGTTGGTTTGTTTGAGACCGACTACTAAGCTACTCACTCACTGCGTATTGATTAGTAGGCCTACCAGTCAATGTTTCCATTGAATATGGTGGACAGCTACAAAGCATGGTAAAGGAAAGTAGGGGGGCACGATGCCCCTGAAAGCAATAGCAGGCAGTTTCCAATGACTACTACTAGAATTCATTCAGACTTTTACTCTATTCCACTGATTTCAACGCAAACAAAAATAATCCAACATTTTTACCTGGTTTGGGTTAACATATGTTCTAAGATTACATTCAACCCCCCAAAATTAATGGAAAACCACTTTATCTAGGAAAAAAACTAATGCTGCATGGTGGGTTCACTGAAGTCAGAGTGGATATCGTTTCCAGTTCCAGACACTACTGTGAGCTGCAGATTTACAAATCAGATATCATAACCAATACCCTAGAGGGAGATTTCTGTTGCTGCCTTCAAATTGCTCGCATTAGGCTAAGTGCTGAGCAAATAATGGCCAATGAGATTTCCAAATGCATCAAATTCCATTTAATCATTCACCATGCCCAGTCGCTCACCCTCCCCTCTTCTACCCCCCTTGAAACGCAATTTATTACTGGGGGAAAATGAAAAGTTTAAAAAAAACCTTGACTGAGTGTGTAAGCAGTTAGCGGAGTCTTCTTTCCCCAGTCATGGCTTGCAGCTGGTGACTGATGCACTTTGCAGAAATGAAGGCGGGTCAAGACCTTTGTTTAATTGAAAAGGGCAACAATATTGCTACAATGCTACGTTTGACTACTAAAGGATTATGAACAAATGTAGCTGGGCATCTCAGTGAATAAGCTTGTTTAAAACCCAATTAATTAATCACTAGACTAACCCCTAACATTATATGAGATCCAACAATTAAAAGGATCAAATGAGCTAACTAAGAGCTTAAGCAGATCTTAAGCAAGGTTAAGTCGATACAAACAGGAGGGAACCCTTAAAAGGAACCACACCATAGCTATAATAAATACTTCCTCTCTTCTTCCTGGAATTCAGTGGTTTGTAATGCAATAACAGCAGTGTTTCCCCTAGGATTCTTTAAAGCAGTGGTGGGTTGATGGCTTGGGTCTTCCTGGGGCATACATTTATACATCTATTAATAGGGTTAGCTACACTTCCAGGATTACAAGCTAGCTAGCTAGATACCTTGGAGGTTTCTCTGAGGATCTGATGTTGTAACTTGTCACTGATCTTAAAAGCACGTCTCGGCAGAATAAAAAAATCTCTATCTATATATATTTGTTTTTTTGCATCTTATTTTCAGTGGCGGCTGTGATTTAACAGTGGCGGTATGCCGCTGCTAAATAAATATAGGGGAAACACTGAACAGTAACCAAAACCACAATGAGGTTCTGTCATAAAGGTCATGCCAGTCTGTTGGGGCAGAGTAGTTATCATATTATCATAGAACTGAACTCCCAAGAACTGTCAGCTAGTAGTGAAAAGGCAGCATTAAGGAATCCCACATTTTGTTAGCAGCAGCCACAAAAAATCCAAGTGAATTCCAACCAAATAGTGAATTCCGACCAAATAGCAAAACATACAGTACTTGGATGTTGCCAACTTGGGGTTGCCTATGATCAAGAGAGAAATGGAAGGCACACCCACACACACACTACTACAGCGTCATGCTCACACACTCAAATAGTAACAATAACCCAAATCAGAGATGAGGGAGAACTGGTCAAAAGTAACCTACCAGTGCGTTCAATGTAGTCCACACACTTCTCAATGAACAAGGGGATTGGCCGTTCCAGGGTGACCAGGTTCTGCAGGGGAACACCAAAGTAGTTGCTGTCCCAGTTCCTCCGTGTGGGTGGGTACAAGGGCTTTGGGGGCTTGGATTTTGGCTGTGAATAATACACAAATCCAAAGTGAAGGAAAACATTAAAGCATCGTTTTCAAGACAGAGAAAAACGTTTTTTTCCGAAAGAGTTGTCATCCCCCACAACAGTTAGGCCCTAATTGAAAAAGAAGATTGTAAAACACCTTGCAAGAACTCATATTTTGTTCCAAGGTTTTTTTGTTTAACGTTCTGTTGCCTGATTATCAAAGGAAGCAAAATGTTCAAACAATGAGAGTATTCTTCATGGCAGTGGTGCTACTGTACTGTCACCGATTCATGATTCTAATATATGAAGTTTGGCTTTTAGCCAAAACATTTGTGTATGATAGATTGCCCTGTTATGTGCAGACAAAATAATTTTACAAAATGAAGAATGAAACAAGCTCTTTGAAACGTAATTGTGAGTGTGCACCTACTGTATTTTTGTGAATATATAAAGTTAGGAGAGAAATAGGGAGAATATAGTGTAACAGGCCAATCTCTTCCTTATGTCCCAAATGTCACCCTATTCCATATATATTGCACTACTTTTGGCCAGGGTCCATAGGGCTCTTGTCAAAAGTATTGCACTAAATTGGGAATAGGGTGCCATTTTGGACATAACCGCTGTCCACTGATTCATGCCTCAGTGCACTTCCTCCAAGCCCTGGGAACCCTGCCTGCCTCCAAATGCCTTTAACATCTGTCCAACTGTAGCCAGGCCAGACTACAATACAGTGGGATGCCCAGATATTCCTCAACTGCATAAATCTCCTCTCACTCCTCAACTATGACAACAGAAGGGGCTATCCGCAATATGGCGGTCATATTTAACCATGATTATGTTGTCCATTGCTTGTGTTGTAGCTTGTCTTAACTGCTGAGGAATGGGAGTGCATGTTTGGCCAGGAATATGTGATGCAATATTCAACAGAAATTGCAAGTCACGTTTGCTCTCAGTGTGATAGATCAAACATCAACTTGCTTCACTGCATGAGTGCAGTCCATTTTGAATCTCTTTCATAGTAATCATGTGTAGTGCTTGAGATCACTGGCTTGTATGACCAGCTGTTAGACAATGTGCAATTACATAACATGTATAATAGCTTTGATTACTCTGTACAGTATTAGGCCTATCTAAAACCACATAAATAAAATAATAAGAAACTATTACACAGAAGATGAATCAGAACGCCTACCTTTTTAGGTTCCTTTGTCTTTGGCGTTTTCTTCTTTTTCTTCTTCATGTCATCCTGCTCTGGATCGGAGGTGATGGCAGGGTTGTCTATCCCTCCCTTCCAGGGGTCAGCAGGGGACAGCAGGGGGTCCTCCTCACTGCCCCGATGGGCCCTGCCCTTCTTCTTCTTCAGCATGACCGGCCCAGACTCATCATCGCTGACGTCCGAGTGGACACGTCTGTGGTACATCTTGGTTTTGCTGAAAAGTATTTTTGAGCGGTGCTTATACTTGTTGGGCCTCCTGCTGGCCTGTGCCTGGCGGTCGAAGCCGTTCTCCTCATCCCCATGCAAGACATGAAGCCCCCCAAACGAGTTGCGCATTTTGACGATCCTGCTCTGGGTGTCCTCCGGGACAGCGTAGATGTCGTCGGTGAAGCCCTTTGATTTCAGGAGAGTGTCTATGGGGTCTGCGTAATTGTCGGACGCCTCAACATCCTCACCGTGGGCCATGGGACCGCGTTGTCGTCTGTTGCTCCTCATCCCAGCCTCTATGGTCTTCAGGAGATTGGGGTCCAGCTTCTTAACGTTGGTCTTGGGTAATATAGGCTTGGGCCTAACCGGGGGAGGCACTCTGTGGTTGCGCTCGTGGTCACTGAGAGGTGTGCTATGGACAGGGTACTCGTTCCCCTCCAGATCGATCCTGTACTTAGCTCGTTCGCTAGGCGTTGGAAGAAGCTGCACGTCATCCCCGATGGGGCTATAAGGCGGAGGAGCCTCGGTGTCGTCCTCTGAGTCAGGGTAGTAATTGTAAGCAGGGGAATGACTGTGGGGAGACTGGGGGAAGACATCTTCGCTCGCACCCGTGCAGTCTCGAGAGCTGTCGTACATGAAGGCGCTCTCGATGTTGCTCTTCTTCTCTAGCACCTCGTTGAAGAACGGTGTGAAGACTTCCGTCTGCCGATGGTACTGAGACAGAGAGTATAGAGCTGTGAATTTGGCGGTTATCTCCGTAGCGATGTGCTCCCCTTCAGTCATGAGCTCTTTGATTTCGTCGTTCTCAAAGAAGTCGGCTTGACTGTCTGTGATGGCCACCATTTGAACAGGGATGACGTCTTGGACCTCCGCCAGGAAAGCTCTGAGCATCGCCATGGAGGACTTGCGTTTCGCTGAGTAGACCAGGATGTATCCATGGACAAGCTCATCCTTCCTGATTCCGATGGAGGAGTGGTAGGAGAGGACTGTGACCTGTATTCTTCTGCGACTGTCGCCGATGATTTTGTTGAGGATCAGAGTGTTACTTTGGCCAGGTTGCCCAGCGCTGCAGGAATGTGAATCCAGAAAAGGTGAGAGGATGAGGTCCACACTGAATGGATCCCCACACATGGCACACATAACGATCCTCAAGTCGGTCTCTGACATGTCTTTGATGGAAGGCAGAGGGCTCATCACATCAAAGTTGTGCTTTAGTCCTTCTAATACTCCTCTGAGAGCCTGTTTAATTTGGAACTCATTAAACTTCCGCGGAAAGGTATCAGAGGGTATGTCTACAAAGGTGCACTGTAGTTTATTTGCTAGCTGTTGGCCCTGATGCCTCAATATAGGCATATTTTTGCAAACACTGTCTCTCTGGTTTGCTAGGATTAGAATGAATGGCAATGGCTGAGCGTACCTCTCCCTCCTGTTCTGTGCAATCTCTGCCCTGATTCGCCCTATGCAGTCGCCAATACAATTTAGCGACTCTATGGAGCTGAAGACACAGAAGATTCCGTGAGGTTTAAAGGTCGACGCCCATGCATGGCTAAAGAGCAACGTTGAGTTGACATCAACAGGCAGAAGCTCCAGTTCATAGATTTTCCCATCCAGAGTGTACTCATTGTCTGTGGACTGGGCTCGGATTTCATTTGCGAGTTCTTGTGCGAGACCCTCCCTTCCCAAGAGACACAGATTTACTTTATCAATGTTGGCACTGTTATAGTAGAGATTAGAGCGACTGTGGTCCAGCTGAACTAGCCTGTTAGCCAGTACCTGCTCGACATTCATGTCAATGCAGCTCTGTCCGCTCAGACACGTCTCCTTTGTTGGGTGGTAGACGAACCCGATGTGCTTGAGGAGAAGCGACTCCCTGTCTGGGGCCAGTTTCTGCAGCGCTCTGTATCTGGGCTCCTCGTTGAGCACAGTGTGGATCTCGCTCATTTTGTCACAGCTTGGAGTGGCGTTTAAATCAAGGTCATAAAACAGCTCGGCGTGTTCAAAAAGCATTTCCTGAAATTCCTCTTTGGCCCTTTCAACTATTTCCTGCTGATGCTGGCTGTAAACATCCCTGCGATCAGATTCACTGATATACTTGTAGGCCTCGTCCTCCATGACAAAACACATTACCTCTTCCCAGGGTTGTCCAGGGCTGATGAAATGGACTCGATCCAATGTCTTCTTGAATCTATCCTTCATTTCTAACCGCCTTTTCTCTGAGAACAGATGCTGGACATGGTTCTGATAAATCTTTTCCCCTTCCGACGTTTTGAGGAGATCAAAGGGCACTCTTCTGTCGTTGACTTTGTCAATTTGGTCTGTCTCATCCCACGGGGTGTGCTCCAGCACCACAAACCAGAATTGAAACTCAGGCCTGCTCTTCAAGATGCTTTGAGCCTCTGACCAGCTCAGGTTCTCGAGCTCTTCCAAGTTGTTGAGCAAGTTATTGAGAATTTTTGGCAGGATCAAGAAGTATTCTTCCCTCCTTTTCCTGATATGTTCCTGCTTCAGCTGTTCTATGTGCTTGTTGAGGGTGTTTATAGCTTTTCGGGTGCCTTCCAGGTTGATGTATTCCTCATAGTCAGGGTGGTTTTTCAACGTGTTACTCACCGTTTTCCAACTTGTGTGATAATCTCTGACGGTTTGTACAATCCGCTTTTCAAACTTGTCGGACACTGTGGCTACTAACTGTCTCTGAACTTTGTAGGCCTCCAAATAAGGAATGGTTTTGGGTTTGCCTCGTGTTTTGTCCATCTGCTGGGTTAACGCATTAAAACACAGGTCTACATTGATTCTAGATCGAGCCGACGTTTCTACCACCAGGAGGTTCTTTTTGCTTGCAGCGAATGCCTGAAGGTCCCTTAGATACTGCTCCACACACTCGTCACATTTCGTTGCAGCAATGACGATGGGCTTTTTCGATTTGACCATTTGAGAATAAAGGCTGTTGACAAATTTCATCTGATCCTCAAATTTCCTATTGCAGCCTTTGCTCACGTCTATACACAATATAAAACCGTCAACGTTCAGTTTCCCATCGGCCATCTGCTTCTGATCAAAATCCTGCTCTAGGCCAAGCTGGTCGGTGCAAATGTACATCAGCTTTTCAGCAGACTGTATCTTGGAGGCTGCAGCCCTTTTAGTATAGGGCTGCAAGTTTGTGCTGCGATGGGGCAAGAAAGTCTGATCATCAATGAACTCTGTTTGTTCAATGATTTGAATTTTACACTCGAGCCCGTCATCACTTCGGTGTGGCACTTCACCCCAGTAGAGGAAGTGATCATTGTTCACCACGCGACCTCCAAAGTCAATTGTGCTCAACACAGAAGTGTGCTCAGTGTAGTAGCCGTCCGCGTTGGAACGCACATATCTGTTGCATAGGCAGGACTTGCCCACGCCACAGTTGCCCTTCTCCTTCTCTGTCCCTGAGAGGCCAACAACACTGACAGCATATGTTAGGGGGCGTGCCTCCTTGTTCTTGGCCATTATATTCCCCCTGTCATTGCTTTGTCACTTTCAGGAAAGGTTTCCACCAGCACAGCTATCATTCCACTCCCATTGGTTAGATAGGGTGGTGTTGCACAATCATAGCTTTGTCCCTTTAGTGGTGAATCCCTCTATCCTCCTAGATCCTCATGCTGCTATAGGGAAGCTGGTTCTCCCCTATTATCACCTCCCTGAAAAACAAAGTGTATAATTGAATAGGCCTAATATGGTTTGCGTACGAAATGGCACCCTATTCCCTATAGTGCACAACTTTTGCACTATGAAGGGAATAGGGTGACATTTGGGAAAAAGCCATGATGTTGTTATTGCAGTGAGTCATTGTCAAGGTGCAAACGGTCCACAGGCCTAATGATAAAATCTGAACAGCTACATTTATTTACATTTTAGTCATTTAGCAGACGCTCTTATCCAGAGCGACTTACAGTTAGTGAGTGCATACATTTTCATACTGGCCCCCCGTGGGAAATGAACCCACAACCCTGGCGTTGCAAGCGCCATGCTCTACAAACTGAGCTACAGGGGACTTTAGGCTATTTCCTAAAGATTGTCACATAAGCCAATAACCTACAGGAAGGACCCTGTTAGTAGCAAATACAATTTTTGATAAACCCTGTACTGTCTGTCAAGAGTAAAACAACAAATAAATCCCATGTTCAGTGTCAGTGACTCTTTTAAAAGTGTATTTTTTCCCCACAGAATATTGGTCATTCCATAAAAAACGTATTTCTTCCACTTTGAGTGGAATGACCAGTGACCCACAAATAATTTAGAAATAAACTAATATTCATCATCACCATTCAATATAGATTACATTTCAGTTTACTCCGGCAATACTTTTGTTACAGGTTACTGGAGGACTATTGCACCTGCCATCTATTGCATATTTTGACAACAATACTGGCTATTATTTGTTGGGCAGTGCATGTTCGTCACCTAAGAATCATGCAACACACCCCATCATGACATGTTACATAGCAAACAGACTAGCAAGTCAGTCAAGTTGACGTCTGACATTATACTGTAGTTACACCGGTCCCACGCTTGTATTAAACAGGAATGTAGCTATATTACATAGCTATTGCAGTTCTAGTAATTAGCGAGATATGTGACTAATAGTATCCAAGTGAGAAGGTAGGCTATCAATAGCAAACCATCACCACCTTCACTCTGTCGTTGTATGATTCCCTTTCATTAAGAGTTGTAGCTAGTACCTGGCTACATTTCTTTCAGGTCTGCTAACACGTTCTGAACTGTGCTCCCTACTCAACCCCCGTCATTGATGATAATAACAAACAACCATGAATTTCATCGCCAGGGAGGCACACGATGAAAACTCACTAAAAGCAATCCACTACCACGAGATGTAGAGGTTATTTGCGAGTAACCAACACATAAATGGTCATCTTGCAACAATCCTAGGTTCATTAGCTACAGACAGTAGCTTGCTAACGTTAGTTAGTTAATAATTGACCTAGCTAACGTGCTTAATCTGCGCACTATGGGTACAATTAAAATAACCCATGCAATAAAAAGCTACGTCTGACTATGCCATTGTATTCATTAACTATGACAATGACAACCCCATCAATGATATTTGCAGGAAAGAATGACTAGCTACCTCTCGGGCCTTTCCCCGACACCACGCAAAAAAAGCAAGCTGTAGCTAACGCTGGCTAGCAAGATAGTGGTAGTCGAACAATACATTTCACTGAACGCAAAATATAAACTACAAAGACCTTGCAGGAATATTTCGTTACCTCCCTTGATCGTGAATTGAACTAGTTGGAATTTACTTGACACAGACAATTTTATCCAGAGTGTAGCTAATGAAGAAACTCGATGCAGTCCATTCCCATACCTAACATGGTTGCTCCCAGCTCCCGAGAACACGAAAAAAAGATAGCATTCCAAGTGTATTATTTTACTCCAGCAAATTCGATTTCTTAACGGCTCGTTGCCTTTAAGTCAGCGGGAGCGTTCGGCATATCCTCTTTCTATTCAAAATATGATTGTTTTCATATATTTTGTGTTATTAGAGGTAGCTGCGTGTAATCCGAGACCTCTCCTCTCATCCCAGTCAGTAATGGCGACTGATACATCCTGCTCTCACCATCGCTCTCGGTAACTTTTCCATTAAGGCTCAAAGCGGGGGCGCGAAGCTCGTGCATGGTTGCTATGTAATTGTGAAAATTAAGAATTTCATGCCTGAATATTTGGTGTGCCTATTTGTGTGATAGTGATAACAGACCAAGGACTGCGGATCATCTCCAGGAGATGGTACATTGTCAATCAGAATAAACATATACATTGAGAATGTAACATGTATACCGTACATTGTTCAATAGTGCATCATCCTGGCCCGTTTGATTTTCTTACTTGAAAATACAGTAGACTTAGTAAGGCTACTGACACATCTTGGTGGTTATGTTGTATCATGGAGCCAAACCATGTTTATTACATGGTTATAACATGTTCATTATTGGGATATGTACGTATGAAAGAGGCAATCTGAATAATTTCAGCAACATTCCATATGAATTACAATAATATTCCATGAGGGTTTTATATGACAGACAATTATTTAATTTTTTTCAAGGATAGGGCACAGCTCTCTGGAGCAATGCAATGTAGGGTTTTTAATACTACATAGTATGCTGCTCACCCTAAGGCCTTTACTTTCAATGCTCCGCTAGTGGATTTTAAGCAGATTTGTCAAACCTTGTTTGCTAAGCTCTTGCTTTTATCTTGACTTAGAAGGGAGGGGGAATCCACTACAGCTTGTCTCTCACTCACCAATAGCCTATATTTCTATACACTGTTCTATACACATTAGTGTCATTGCTACTTGTGTGTCTGACGTTGATGATTCATTTGTCATTGAAGTGGAAATTCATTGTAGAATTAATTTCAAACTGATGTATTTGGTTCTTTCCAGGAGGATTGACGGCTAGTAGATAGAATATCCATATGCAATCATGGTACGTGATGGTCAACTTACATGTTTTAATTTACATGTAAAATATCTGCATCAAGTATCTAATGCAAAAATGTGCTAGGAAGTTTATGAGTGGACTGATCATTGTATCAAAGAAAGTGTGTCACTCACAACTGACACAAAGTTATCAACCCTTTTAGACAAGCCATTTCTACATTGAGTTGGAAATCCAAGCATCGCTGTGCTGTTTTATTGTCAGTCATAATGCAATAGCTCCAACAGTGAAGCTGCGAGTCCAAGCTCCATTGTCTGGGTCTGTTTTGGGAGTGGGCTCAGGCTCAGCTGTCCCTCTGCAATTGTAGTGATACAAAACACCAGGGATGAGTAGGAAGGCTGAGGAAACTTTGTCCAATTGTTTATGTTGCTTCAGTGTTCATAATTTCATGTCATCCTTCAAACTACACTGAAACAGAGTGTAAATATTCTAGTGAAGATGCGCATTCTCTTCCAACCAACGCTGAATGGTGGAGAACAAGTGGGAGTTGTTTCACACAGGATCCTAGTGTTCTGGATTGGCACTTTTCCACCTGTCAATATGAAGAATAAGGGATTGGAATCAGAGCCTGTTCATTACAAACTTAAAACACTCAGAGCTCTCTCTCTCAGAGCATTGCAGCTTACATGTCAAAGGTCAATCAACATAACTTTAACCCTGTGTCATTGTTGTCACAAGTTATTTAGTAAAAATAGGAGAGAATATATTTCTAAAGAAGGATGACGCTACTACTTTAAGTACAGACTTGATCCTGGTGTCATTATGCCTGTTGTTTTGTTTGTAATTTAAGAGGTCATGGGGGAATTGCAAAATCGGATTTTACGCCTTTCAAAACAAAACCATGATTCTTTATGCATCCAATGGATTACCAGAAACCTGATAGGAGAAACCTATTTGTGACCTGACGCTCTGAATAACACTGAATACCATTGTTTTTTAAGCCAATGGTTCAATTCAAATCAGTTCCAAGAGCAGACTATGTGTGAGGTTCCCATGTCATGCAAGTGTGAAGATCATGCTGTATCAACCTGGAAATAGATGTGATGCAGCAGACAGTAGTGTGTGTTCTCATCTAATGTAAGTGTTGTTTGTGAATCTCAACCATTGGTCCTTACACCCTCCTTAGTAATAGCCTTCTCTTTCAGCCCTGCACAATCAATATAGTCTGAGAATATATAGGGAATAGGGTGCCAGTTGGGACGCAAACATAGCCCTTATGATCAATAAATGTCACAAGGTGTTGGAAATATCTATTGCTAAAAGCTTCTTTATGAAAAGACAAACTCGAAACTGAACGGTTGTTCAGATCCGATGGACATTATAGCAGAGTACAAATACTGAGGGTATGGGTGGACGATGTGTGTAAAGTATATGCTTGTTGATAGTTTGTTACTGTTACATCAGGTGCGACGAGCCCCTACTTGCTTCACTGTTGTTTCTTCGATCACATTACATCCTCTGGAGCGATATGCAAAATGTCTCTGCTCTTGCCAGAGAGGGACTGCAGGGAGATAGTTTTACCGCTTTAATAGAGTAAGGTCTCTGCACACCTTTTACTCATATTAGTACCTCTTACAAAAAACGTACCTAAGGACTACATAACACATTCATAACCCTTCATACCACATGTATAAGCAATACATCATGTCAACAATGGCAGGTTGAAATTGTTGTTGTTTTGTCTTTGTTATGAAACGCTCATGTCCTGCTTATGAATGTGGTATGTATGGGTCATACATGTATGAAGTCCTACAGTATACCCTTTAAATAAACTGTGACCAACTGCTTTTGGCCCTCTTCAAGCCGATGATGGGGAGTGGTGTTCGCTGTCTGATATCATAGGGAAAAGGACCATAAGAATTAATTCCTCTTTGATTGAAAACTAGTTGATCACAGTGTGAGAGAGGTTTTCCATGCTCCACGGGGTGCCCTTCAGAAGGCATGAAACAGCTGGCTATGGGAGATACTAATGTTAAAAGGCCTTAATGA